TACAACACACACTACACCTACACAACACAATTACACATCATATCTACCTATAACACATCACACACCACATCTTCACATGACAACTCCGCGTGCCACCTACACATCACACGCCACACCTCAACATCACACACCACACCTCCACATCAAACATCACACACAACACCTCCACATGACAACTCCACATCACACCTCCACAACCCATCTTTCTTCCCCACAATACGAAACTTCTTCGAACAACAGCTTTTCGATAGTTAAGAATGTATCGCCCTGAAACTAGGCTAATTACACTAATTACCAAATGTAATTAGTAGCATCCCTAAAATCTTCGACCTCGTCATTACCGTTAAATAAATTCTAGGTTATAAATAGCATTACTTGTGTACACTTAGTAACTTCTTCGTGGGACCCGTGTACTTAATGGGACCCGTGTTCTTTATGTAGTACTTTATGTGAACTATGTACTTCATGTAGTACTTTATGTGAACCATTTACTTCATGTAGTGCTTTATGGGAACCGTGTACTTTATGTTGTACTTTATGGGAACCATGTACTTTATGTAATACTATATGTGAACCATATACTTTATGTGAACGCACTTTTTGTCTACGCACTTTTTACTATTTAAATAATAAAATGCTAGTAGGCCTACTCACAAAGTTTTTTTTTAAATTACCAAACAATATTCATCAAATTTGAGTCGTTCTCCTTTGAAAAACCGCTTCTATCATGTATTGTTTACATTAGCTGTCATCACTTACGTCTCGGTCATTATTTACTTTAACCATCATTCAAACAATACCAGGTGTACTAAAAACAAGCAGTCTCTTGTCAATTGGGGAACGTTGGTATCTCCGAGATTTGTGGTTATTACTAATCCAGATAACCGGTAGCAAAACATGACAGATTAGTGATAGTCAGGGGCGGATTAAGACCATGATAAAAAAAAAAGATAGAAAATAGGGCTCCCCCCCCCCCCCCCAAACTTTCTATCATCAGTTAGATTAAAGTTCACTCTCGTACCAACTTTTTGGTTTTACTCACACTTTTGAACTGAATGTTCTGATCAGTATGTCTTTTATGTCTTTTTGTTATCGACTAACACACTTTTTAAAAATGTGTTTGTTTCCCATAATATATGCGGACAGCAAAGTAAAAGCCAGACAGAGTCCAGAGGCGTAGCTAGGGGAGGGCGGGTGGGGCGACCGCCCCGGGCGCCGTCCTTAAGGGGGCGCCAAAAGGGGTAGAGAAATTAATTTGAAAGCTCATTTTAAGCTGAAGTATCAAAAAATAAACGACTACAAGGATTTACACACTGATTTAACAACTTTGTGACACCGAAATAGGATAGTAACTGGTAAGAAGCGCCAAAAACCTCTCCAACCGGGGGGGGGGGCGCTTTTTCACAGACAGGAATAACTATATATAGAAATAGGGGGGCGCAAAATTGATAGTCCGCCCCGGGCGCCGGATTAGGTCGTTACGCCTCTGACAGAGTCAACAGCAGCTGCCATTGTTTCATGTCAAGCAGTGTTTGTTTAAATTGAACTTTCCCTTCTCCCTCCAAAAAATTCCAACCGGTGGCCCCGCTTACAACACCCCATCTCTAGACCTTACAACTGTCAGTTGACGTCTGCGCCATCCGCCATCGACCGTTGGACTTCTGCTACACAAAACTCTACCAGGTAGATTTTAATTCTAGGGCTGTCGACATCAAACTGAAGCACCCCCCCCCCCCCCCAGTCCTCCCCCGAAGACATCAAATCGAAGACATCATCTCAAGTTATTCATTTCGAAAAGACGCATCGAAAACTAAATGATTCTGGCTAGCGTCGAGACTAGCTATTATCTTGTGTTAGTCAATTTCTCGAGTACGGCGCGCGGGTCGGGTAATATTTGATCATTTACAATCCTCATAACTTAAACAATACATTCATGTAATAATTCACATTTATCTTAGATCTGTAATTAAGCTACCAGAGTATCGGCGAAGTTTAAAAAAAAAAACATTCTTCAAACTTGTTCCCATACGCAGTACATAGTCTATTGTCAAACTGCAGGAGAGAGTAGTCGATAAACTCATCCGATAGTTGGCTTTGTTTCTGTAAGTATCGAGTAGTCGCTACTGACAAAGGTCGCAATGTTACGTGTGAGAATCATTCACCAACGTGTCATTGATCTCATGCACGACAATGTTTCTGGGTTGTTGTTTTTTTTTGTTGTTTTTTTTTAATTTCTACACATACAGGTGTTGAATTTATCTTTGGTAATGGATAACAAAAAACATGAATTCATTTTATTTTGTTTAATTTGACTTAAGTTCGAACTTAGTGTGTAAATCTAGTCTAAATTTCTGTGCTTAAAGCTAGTCTACTGTTGGTGCTTTCAAGCGTAGTCCCGTCAGCCTATCCGTGCTGGTAGAGTCCAAGGAAGGAACGGTTGTAAGTGGCGATAGTTTTTTGAGAAGGTCTCGCTGTGCGGTCGGGGTTTCGAGTCCAGCTGGCACGGTGCACTAATATAGACTCAAGTTTTAAATTAGCCATTTAGGTTGATTGTTTGATGAGTCTCTACTTTAAGAGTGCATTCGGTTCCAAATGTTAACTAACCTTCTTACAGCTGTAACAATATAAGTAACACATAAAGTCTATTTATACACTTTTCTTTATTTGTTCTCGTTCATCTTATTTGTATCAATACTTTTATACATTTGATGTATACATAAATGACTTTCTTTATATATATATATATATATATATATATATATATATATATATATAATAAAACACTACAATTTAAATAACTATGAAGAAAAGCGTGGGTGACTATATTATTTATTGTATACCTTTACTGATATATATGTAGATCTAGAGTCCCCCGCTTTTGATTACAGTTTTTAAAATAGTAGTGTATTATTAAATATTTATAGAAAAACAGTTTTCCCTCTCCTTTTTAGTGCATTATTACATAACAGATTGTGATTAAAACATTGTTTATGCATTTTCTGCCAGTACTTTAAATATTTTAATATAAATGAGTTTCATGACTAAAAAATATTGCGCACATAATGAACGTGAAAATGCGTTTATAATAGTGCGGAATAATCGTTGGTCTCCTACTTTATTTTTCGGCCAGTTAGAAGTGCTCGAAATTTGGTTCGGCAGTTTCGATCTTTGACGACTGAAGGACAGAAAGACAGAGAAAGCAAGTTAAATGAAAGCTTGTAATAAGAATATCTTCTTCCTTTAAGTAGAATTTAGTTTCTTACATTTTATTGCAAAATATAAAATTTAAAATAGAAATTAATTTAAAAAAAAAAATATCAGTGCAGTAATTAAGTTGAATAGCCCATGTTTTTAATTCTATGGTAAAATGTGCACACTAGCAAAAACTTAAACTTACACTAATTAATTTTAGAAAAAAAAAATTGGAAAAAAAATACGTTTAAAATAGATGTAGCTAACATATAAAAACATTTATTATAAGAAGACCTATTTAAAACACTTAGAATAACAATAAAATAATAAAACAACGCAGTACTATATATATATATATATATATATATATATATATATATATATATATATATATATATATATATATATATATATATTTACATTTAAAATAAATAGCTTAAAATATGAAATAACATTTATTCATATAAAAACATACACATGTTTCTTACGTCAAGCTCTGCTCGAAATTAGAAACTACATTGTTAATAGTTCTATATCTTTAATTACCGAGTATTGCAGACTAATATTTTTAGGAGTTTTAAAAATAAATTAAAATAATTATTTATATTTGTGCATGGAGCTGAAAAGCCGCTTCTTGATATCAAAAGAGCAGCATGCGGCTCGCGAGCCGCAGGTTGCCGACCCCTGTACTAGACCACAGACATAGTTGGTGTAGCCTTTTCAACAGGTTTCTAAAATTGAATTATTGAATTTCTCAAATTGTGTTCGCGAAACAAAACGCTGCATTTTTTTTTATAATTAATTAACTCGACTGCTTTACTTTAGTTTTAAAAAAAAACGACAATTTACATGTTTTAATTAATTACCTCAAAGTGTAAGTGTTGCCATGGAAACTAATGTCCTGAGATAAGCAGCATCCTAATTCCCTTCCATTGATTTACATGTTCTTCAGACTTAGGGAGTAATATTTTCACTAATTTCCTACGGATAAAACTTTATGTATCCTAAATTTGCAACGTAACAATCGCGTTGTCGAAATGATATCTGAATTTCACGGTGACGTCATTGGCTATCATACAGACTTTATATCCTATCCTATACACAGAACATATTTAAAAAATTAGTCTTTACACACATACAAAGTTCATACAGCCAAAACCCATTATGTCGAAGGTGTTGGCAAAAATTGTCGCCACAACTAAAAATCAGCCTTCCCCCCCCCCTGTATTCTATTCACTGGAGGCGGACCACCACTGTCAAATTGGAAGCGTCGCCGGCAAGGGTCCCCCCCCCCCTCCCCCCACAAAAAAACAACAAAACAAATAATTGACAACTTTGACTTTTATATGGACTTTATGTGCATTTTAAAAGCTGATTATAACATGATCCCCATTTTATTTACATTTTGAAAGTGTAGTATTGGCTATATTTTTTCTTTCTTTTTTTTCAGGTACAAAAGCTGTAGTCAGTACTGACAAAAGATAATCTACTGAAGTTGAAAAATAATTCCACAGGAAGCAGATACAGTAGACCATTCAGATATACAACTGAACGTCACTATTTATCAGACAAATGATTGACTGTCTTACGGGCAACCGTCTCGACGACAAACGCCATAGAGCCGTTACAACTGGTGAAAATGTTAAGTAACAAAACTTGCCACAAGTCTCCGCTAAGTTTGTGCGGCCTCTCCGTGTTTGTGCCTGCTGCTATGTAACGCCCCACTCACCGAATGTGAGCCCAACGCCCATCACTCATGGAGGAAATTTAGCCCTCACTAGCCCACGAGCTGCCTCGGCCCTGCAGACATGCAACAAGAAGCGCTAGACTTTTCTTTTCTCACCAAAATTTTACAGTCCAGCTGGCACGTGCCCGCGCCTGACCAGTGGTCAGCTAGTTTAGTGCCTGCACTTAACGCACTCAGCCAATCAGACAATCCATCAACGGTCCCTGCGTCATTACCCGTTGGGTCTAGTCTGTGCACGGAGGACGACGGCAAGGACAGTAGACCGGACCCCCGGGCTCCCCAGGACTACACACTTAAACGTGTTGTCTGCGAGACACAAGATCTTGACATCAAAGACCGTCTTGGTCAGCAGTGCCAAGCTATTGCTGACCAGTCGTATGAAAGAGAGGATTCCATTCCGTTTGGATTCTTGGAGGGAAATTCAAATGAAAACTATTTAAATTATAAAAATATAAAACATGAAAACAAGGATACCCTACCTGGGGTAAGGTCAGACATCAAATCGTTCAGTGAAGAAACTGAAAGAAAACCGGAAATGACGTATTTAAAAACTCACTCGGCTGCTGCCACATCCTTCCTGGATGAGCTCCCAAGCGAGTATGAACAAATCGAAAGTTGCGAGTCGAGGGGGCTGAAGCTGACGTTCAGGAGACGCTCGGCGGACCGACCTCCCACCCAAAAACCTCCGCCCCAGAGGCCCCAGACAGAAAAGCCTGTAGAAGAAAAGCCCCAAATACAAAAATCTGCAACTCAAAAACCTGTAGCTCTAAAACTCCCCGCTCAAAAACCTCCATCTCACAAACCCCAAGTTGAAAAGCCCCAAACTCAAAAGCCCCAAGTTGAGAAGCCCCAAGCTCAAAAACCCACAACCTACAAAGCGCCAGTCCTCATCACCCTTGAGGAAAAAGAGGCCAAACCCCCACACGACATCCCCAAACTGATCGTCCAGAAATGTAAGCTCTCGCAGTCCTACAGCCTCCACAGCAACAGGAAGTTGACTCCAAAACTTGCCGAGACCGACACGAAAAAACCAGAACCGGCGCATTCAAATAAATCCAGCACGGAACAAAAAAAGAGTAACAACAATTGTAAGACAAACAAAGCGGATGTCTATCTGCAAAACTCTGATGGGGAAAAGGGAAAAAGTTCCACTGGAAAAAGTGCAAGTAAAACTTCTGTTACGGCAAAAACAAAAGACGAAAACCGATCTCGGGAGTCAAAAACTAAACCACAAACATCGGCGGATCCTCAGAAGAACGCCAACAAAGATCAAACGACGCATAGTTTAGAGGGCGGTTCTTCAAGCCTACGGGAACAAGACAAGAGCGCCAGGGCAGACCCGCATAAGGACAGACCAGGGCATGAGAAGGGCAGACCAGGGCATGAGAAGGTGGAGATGACGTCAGGCTCCCAGCTGCCCAGCAGAGATGCCACGTCTGACAAGTCAGTCACACATCGAGTCAGTTCTCAGGGAACTGTGCAGTCTAGCAGTCAAAAATCTGTCTCGTCTAGCAGTCTAAAATCTACCACGTCTAGTGGTAAAAAATCTGCCTCGTCTAGCAGTCAGAAATCTGTCACGTCTAGCAGTCAAAATATCACGCATAGCAGTCAGAAATCTATAACTTCTAGCAGTCAAAAATCTGTCACGCCCAAAAGTCAAAATGTCACTTCTGGCAGTAAAAAACCTGCCACGTCTAGCAGTAAGAATGTCACGTCGACCAGTGAAAACACCGTCACATCTGACAGTGACAGGTCTATCACATCTAAACAAAGTCCCAGATCTCTCTCTTCTGACAGTAAAAAATCCACACCATCTACCAACACCCAGAAATCCACCTCATCTTCCAACAGTCAAAAACCCACAACCTCTTCCAACAGTCATAAGCCCATTTCATCAACTAGCAGCCACAAGCCCACATCATCCAGCAAAAGTCAGGGGAAAGTGAAGTCTTCGAGCGAAAACCCCAAAACTCCAAAATCCGAAGGACTCATGGAACGAGTGAAAAAGTCCACAAGCGATACCAGCCAATCAGCTGACCAACACACGGACAAGCGTGCGTCTGCTCACAAACCAGAGAAGGTCATGACCTCTAGCAGACCGGACCATGTCCAGCTACGTGACGGGAAGTCAGACGACAACCAAAAGTCAGGTGATAAACCGCCGGGCACTCTCCCCGCCCAGCAGCTGGAAGTCAGCAGGTTACCCGATGGCCAGGGGAAAGCCGTGGGTTCTGCAAGCACCCAGCACACCCACAGGGAGAAAACAAGCCCCCATTGCAGCACAACCTCCAATTGTAGCACAACCTCCAATTGTAGCAAAACCTCTAATTGCAGCAAAAGCCCTCACTGTACTACAAGCTCCGACTATAATAAAAGCCCCCCTTGTAACACCAACTCCTACAGTAGCACAAGCTCCCATAGCAGTACACACCCCAATGATACCGACCATAAGCCCCAACCACAGGAGGTTGTGGAGCACCCAACTCTACAACATTATCCAACCAATCAACACGAAGACCTAGAAGTGAAACAAAAATTCAAGTTCAAAAGGTCAGACAGCGCTCCCCCCTCCACTCTATCACCCCCACAAGCCTTGTCTCCACCCTATCCAGGATCCACATCAGAAGAGGTCAGCAGGTTCATGAACGTCCACCCGGACAACGAAACTATCGCTCCGTCAGATGGCGCTAACCTCCCCACCAGACCCAAATCCTCCCCGCCCATCTGCAGCACGTCGTCCCGAAAGTCGCCGGTGGTCATGCTCGACCGACTTCCGTCTCCGGTCATTCAACTTTACTCCTTCAAAAATTTCGTCAGCGATGACAGCTGTTCTGAGGAGAATTCCTCGGACACTGACCGCCATTACAAGAATTACCTGAAGCGTTTTCAGACAGGTGTGATGGAGTTGAGCTCGTCAGGGCCGGAGTCAGACAACCAGAGCTCGGACGACAAGATGGCCGCCAAGTGTCTTAAGTCCACAGAGAGGCGGAAGAGCAGATTAAAAGAAAGAGCAACAGCTTCTCGCCGCCCTGAGACCAAAGATCAAAGCAGCTCAGACCTGAAGAACTCGCTGCTCATCAGGAGTCGCGAGAAGTACATCCGGGCTTCAAAACGAGGCGTTCGCTACAACAACGACGACGATTTCGAGAAGGCGGTGATCAAATACTGCAGCGGCGTCTCCAGGAAGTACAACACGAAACAAAGTAAAACAAAGACAAAAACTTTGAACAGTGCAAAGAAGAGACTCAACAGCCCTACGAAAACCCCGGAAGATCCAATCGAGGCGGATCAAAGATCGAAGTTTATCGATCCTAGAATCACGGCCATGTCGTCTGCGCTGCTCCACGCCTGCCAACACAACAAGAACGCGGAGAACATCGCCTTCAAGAAAACAAGTTCCCGCCTCCGTGTGGGCAGCACGAAGTTCATCACCCACAAAGTCTTGACCAAATCTTTCAACAAATTTTCTCCAGGAACCACTTGTAAATTAAACTCTAAATTTGGTCATCACGCCGTGAAAGACTGGCCCAGAAAACATCTGGACACAATGATTTCTGCCCAGCAGACGTCTAGCAAGTTGAGGCATCAGGCGTCAAACATTCTGAGAAAATCTGCCCAGCAAGCTAAGCACGTGTCAAGTGAGAGAGTCAAAGTCCCTGAACGTGTTGACCCTCACACCCAGCCTCACAGCTCCACCGAAATGTACTCACCAAGTAAGTTCAGAAACCTGTTCGAATCGGACGTGTTCAGTGGGCGTATCGACCCAGACAAGTCCCCAAACTCTGACACCGATAGTGGGAAGCAATATCCGGTCTCAAAAACCGCAGATACAAAATGTAAATTTTCCGACAAAAAACGCCGGAGAAAGAGGATCATCAGCAAAGAGTTCATCACCGAGGAGATGGACAGTGCATACTGCTGCAACTGCCAGTGCAGTGAAAGTCCCGTCGACACCCACAAACCAGCCGCCAAGTCTCCGAAAGACATCCCAGCGCCGAAGAAAGAATTGTGTGCCGATCCAGTAGTGCTGAGCATCAAGGCGGAGGGACGCGAGGAAGACTCTGCAGACGATCTAGGCTTTGACGCAGACTCGAACAGCGAACCGGAAGCGGTGATTAAACTTGAGAGCACGTTGGCAGACGACGAGGATCACGTGGAGGACAGCTACGGGCGTGCTGGGATCGCCAAGGACACGGATCTGATGGCCCTCGACTACCCCACGTATGACGAACTCAGGCTCGAGTCGCAAGACATTTTCTACGACCTGACTTCCGGTCAGGGAGCTTCCAGGCTGGACAATGCTAACACAAGGAGAGGCATGGCTGACCTTGACATTGCTGACGCGGCAGAGATCTGGGACCTGCGGGGGTCAGGGCGTGAAGGGGTGCCAGCTCGTCACGTGACTCTCGGGGAACCAAGCGGTCAGAGAGCTGGTCAGCCGTCCGGCCAGTCGTCTGGCCAGCCGCTGTTGAATTACCAGGGGAGCGAGTTTGGCTCCAGCCGCCAGCCGGATGTGACGTGCAGAACCTCGTTTGCCACGCCTTTATTTTTATACGCCAATCAAAGCAACCCTCCCTCACCATACTCAATGTCAAGGCCGCTCAAGCCAGCCCCCTCTTCTGTGACCTTCAACAAACCCTTGTCCATCCAGATTGGACAGTCCCCGACTGAGTCGGACTACGGGTCACCGCCGTCTCTGATAGAGTTCTCTTCCCCTTGCTGGTACCAAACGCACAATCCCAAGCCCATCTGTTACCATGGTAACACTGACAATGAAAAGGGCAAGGCGAATCAACAGGAGTCTTCAAGAATTGTGAGTAGCGCAAACACGACAGCCAGAAAAGATTTTGAAAGAGCGCCAAAACCCGAAGCCAAAACCCAAAATACCCGAGTGGTTCCAAAAATTACCATACATTCACCATCCAGCCCCGAGCATTCCGGAAGTACGTCACCATCTCGCGCGTCGCCTTCAAGTTCCTGTTTCATCAGCCCGGACCTGCCCACGTCACAGCAGCCAAAATCTGGCACGTCCTCGCCGTTCCGCTTGCCGGGTAGCCTCCCTAGTCCCCACAAAACCTCCCCCAAACAAACTCACGACGCCGCCTGCAAATCCTCCAGGCTAAACCTTGACCCCAGCACCAACCGTCTGCTGTCCATCTTCTCACCCAACTACCTGCGCAGCGCAATCAAAAACAAGGAGGCCCGCGCGCAGCTCTGCCGGTACATCCGCCAGAAGATCGAGGAGGTCGAGAGCGACGACAGCGACGCTACTCTTGTGTACCCCCCGGCGCCCCATGACAAGCTCCACCCTTACAACAAGGGCGCCAGCCGGCGGTCCTCGCTCGGGTTCTCCTCGACTGGGGTCAGCGAGTGCTCCTCCGCCATGAACAGCCCCAGTATAAAAGAGGTCAAAGACACGCTGTCCCCAGACGACAAAACGATGGAGAAACGACAAAACGATTTGTCGCTGATCGTGTCCGACCTCAGGGAGAGCATCTCTAAAACGAAGGCCATGAAGCGGAGCCGGCGGACAAACTCTTTCTCTGGGCAGCGGAAGGTGACAATGGGGGACCCGGATATCTGCGTGCAGGCCCTGCAGAAGGGCAGCCGTCCGGCCTTTGAGAGGTTCATGTCGGTGGAAGCCATGATGGACAGCGACACGCCCTACACCACCATCACCAAAACCATGGACGGGAGTGACGACACGCAGCGTCACGATTACGAGATGATGCGGTTCGTTTCCGGTCTGCGCTTGAGACCAAAATACACCGCGCATGACGGAAGTGTTTCGTCTATGAGCGTCGCGGAGACACAAGTCTACGGGGCGGACAACTCTCACAAACCGGAAATGAATCAGTTTTATCACCGTCGTGGCGACGAAGTTTCCGACACGGTTGAGGAGAGCAGGAGAGCAACAGCCGTAGAAACAGCTCCATCTCCTGCTCCAGCTGCCCCCTGTCCGACGCTAAACGGAACAAACGCCAACAGCGTTGACTCGGACAGCGACGAAAGCCGCCTTGTCGTCATCGAGAACGCCGAGTCCGACACCGTCATCGAAGGCTGTGAGGCGTATAAAAAAGTCGTTTCCGGCGCCTACCGGCTCCCAACCGGAAGTCTGAAGCTCACTCGCCGGCTCAAATACTGCAGGAGAACGAAGCGGTCCGGCAAAGATAAACGGCTTCCGATTTCCGTTCGCTCCTTGCTAAACCGGAAGCCGGGCAGCAAACTTTCACAACCTGCGAGAGAAACCGGCAGAAACCGGAAAACTAGACCGGCACAGCGGCGTAGACCAACACTACGCAAATCTCCGCACGAGGAAGATGCTCCGCCTGGATCTAACACCGGTAGTGACGTCACGGATACGAAGCCATCTTTGAAGGGGAGTCGCGATATTTGGGGTAAGTCTGTTTTTCTATTAAAGCTACACTCTACTTCTACTGCATTTTGAAGACCAGTTGTCGACAGTGTTACACATCTTCAAATATTCTGAACACTTTGATACGCTTGGTCTATCTATAACCAAATGTTATTTTATTCATCAATAGTATTATCTATTTCGTCATTGAAATGATACAAATGTCTAAGCCAACGTGTCTCTTTCAACTTTTATTTCATACATAAATTCTGCTCTATTAAAAGCCGATCAATTTCCACATCATTGAGCCTAGGTTACACGCAAACATTTTTATGTTTTTGTTTGTCGAGTTTGATGCTTTTGTTTATGAAGGTGGTTGTTTACGTATGTGTGGGAGGATGTGTGGGTGATGTGGCAGGAAGTGATTGTGTGTGTGTATGGAGGGGGCGGTGTTGTGTGGGAGTGAACATAATGCAAACATTTGACTTTGGTTGCTTGAGGAATATATATATATATATATATATATATATATATATATATATATATATATATATATATATATATATATATATATATATATATATATATATATATATATATATATATATATATATATATATATATATATATATATATATATATATATATTCGTGTATAAAAAAGCATATAGGCTACCACGAGATACATTATATGTCAATTACAAAACATAACGACCTTATGATATTTTGTTCCAATACACACTACACCTGTTCCCGATAAAATTAGCTGAAGTTCCCCGTTTTAGTACCCGCATCCACTAGCTAGCGACCTTTCTCTACTTGTCATACTTTCTACTGTATGTGTTGGCTTCATTGTGTTTTATGTGTGTGTGTTGTGTTAGTGTGTGTTGAGTAGTGTAGTGTGTGTGTGTGTGTGTGCTGTGCTAGTTTTCCGACATCCGACTTTTTAGGAATTCGACAGTTACATCTCCTCCCTCTCCATCCTGTCTCTTAGCGGTCCCGGGCCAGTCTTGATGGTCGTAGGTTCGAATCTCTCCATTGTCAGTTTTACCGTGAGTCATAGTTGCCCAGTTTCTGACAACTTGTCCAGCTGTTGCTCAAAGGCTTGGAACTTCAATCATACACAGCTTGATTGATATTGAGCTCCAATCATACACAGCTTGATTCAAATGTAAATGTTTTTATTGTTTTATAATCGGTACTTCAATACTTTACTTCAAAGCATAGCTGAACTTTGATATTAATGGTCCGTCGTATTGTCTTCTGCTTCTGTAGTTTGTAGTTTTTCTTTTTATGTCCATGTTGTGTAGCTTTGTCTTCTAAGGCCCGTATGTTTGTGTTGTTTTAGTTTAATATTTTCACCGTTGAAAAATAGAGTTTATATTTATCCTTTTATGTTAGTGTTTTGGTATTATATAATTCGTAGTTCTGTATTTTAAAGCCAGTAGTTTTGTTCCGTTTTTTAAAAGCGTCCATCCGTCCATCCATCCGTCCATCCATCCATCTATCCATCAGTCCATCCGTCCATCCGTCCAACATTTGTAGTCTCCGTGATGCCACCCCCACCCCAACCCACCAGATAACGGCACATATAACAGTTTATGTATAGTTCTAGCCGCCAACTCCCCCCCCCCACCCCCACCCCACCATCACACCTTCTCAACGGCACATATCCGAGTCCATATGCTAGTTCATATCCCAGTCCATATGCTAGTTCATATTCATCTCTAGTGGAGCTACCCCCCCCCCCCACCATCTCGCCCACATATTCAGCTCTAAAAGAACACGTGATACGGCCTACAGCCCGTCACACTTGACTGCGTTCATTGAGATGCAGGGCTAGGGTCTTCGTGTGTGACACGACACAAGATGGCTGAGGTCAGTCGACCGTGGGCAGCATAGGGCCGGTGTGTGGCTCTAATGGTGACTCAATGATCAACTTGTGGTGACACAATGATCAACGCGTGGTGAAACAATGAACAATTAGTGCAATATTTACCCCACCCATGTGTGTGAATAGTTTCTACTTTCTCAACCTTCACCGATTATAATACACATCAGATGTGTATTTCTTGTCTCTCCCCCCCCCCCCCATGGGTCCACACTCACTACCTACTGGGGTGGGTATCTGGGGGGGAACGCCCTAACTTATCCACCCACCCCACCCCACCTTAGCTACGCTTCTGCTTAATAAGCGATGTCAACATGTCCTGAAACCGTCTCCATGGAAACATAGAACACACGAGTTCCACTCGAAAGTTGTGTGTTCGAATCCTGATTGGCCTGATAATCTGCCTTTCTGTTTTTGTATCAGCCTAGCGAATCTGTACGTGAATAATGCATGCTCATGAGTTTCTTACAAGCTTCCTATTCGGTCTACGGTCATGGTTGGGTGGGTTTGTATTCAAATCTTGTGACGCACTTTTGATCCACTTCGAATACAGCGACAACAATGTAATGAGATATTAAATTGGTCATTAAAACTTAATTAAAAGATTAGTGTATTTAACTAAAAAAGGGGGATAACAAGTTTAAGTAGAACAGTAAAGATTACTCGATTAGTCGTGGGAGTTGTTGTTCGTGGATGTTGTCATACATGTCATCTGACATTGGAAGATACTAAGGGGAAGATAACCGTAGTTTAAGTACAATGATCGGGTTTCTATGGGTGGGCTGTAGGCTTAATTAAGAACGAAAAGAGCGGAAAGAATACATTATACATGCTGCTAAATCTTTAAAATATGTACATTTTTAAAAGAGGAGAACAAAACAATTATAATAAGACGAGCCGACCCGCAGCGTATCATACGACGCTATTTAGTTGTTTTATTTTCTACTTTTCAGTAATTCATAATTTGTGAATTCGACAGTACCAATGCTGCCACTGAAAATATTTGCTTTAAAACACTAACCCCCCCCCCCCTTTCCCCTAACCCCGACCCTACACCCCCTCCCCCCCCCCCCCCCGTGAAAGCAGCCTCCTCTTAGTTATTTCTTAGTTACCTCCTGTAAGTTTAAAATCGAACTAAATTATCTGGGGGTGGGGTGGGGGTGGTAGTGATAGTGATAGAGAGAAAGAGAGGGGACTGCAAGGAGGCGCTTGCAGCTTGTTTTCTAACGGCTCCCAGAAGAGAATGATATATATATCGATTTTCAATGAACTAAAATTAAGGAATAGAAACGTTCTATGCCTGTTATATAAAACATTAACGCTTTTCTTTGTACTACTGAAATTAAAGATAATGAATGTTTATTTTTAGTTCATTTAAAGAAAAGGTTTTTAATCAAGATTTGTACAGCCGTTTGTTTTCTCTTCCAAGTTGTCTCTCCTAGAAGGGTAGCAGTGCCTAGCTATCCAGTCTCATCATTCACAAATTCTAACAAATAGTTGTAGTGTCCGGATACATTTGTTAAAATGTTGCCCAATTTCAAATCAAACTTAAGATTTCTACTTTTAGATCTATGAATATAACCTTTTTCTCGTGCGTTTATGTGGGTCTTTCCTTGAGGGATTAAAAAAAACTGAATGGCTGTCAAAGTCGGCAAATTTATTTGTACTGTGTACAACAACAATAAAAAATAAATCCCCACACAAATAATCGTTTTTTAGCTGGAACAGGTTGGAAGATCTTTTGGCTCGGAGATTGAATGAGGTACTACAGTGTCTCATTTCATGTTGTTTATGTTGGAAGGCCGTGCTATTTTTAGCCTCAGCTTTGTTCTATTCTAGTCACGTCAAATCACGTGGTTTTGTTGTTATTAGGACAAGTGACAGTTGAAACCAGGACACACAACCTCTGACACACTAGACACCAGGACACACAATCTCAGACACACTAGACATCAGGACACACTAGACATCAGGACACACAACATCAGGACACACTAGACATCAGGACACACTAGACATCAGGACACACAACCTCGTGAAGGTACCCTCTGACCTAATGTCAGCTGTCCATCATAATCTGAAGATGGCAGCACCGTACCCGTCCCAGCAACGCCTTCATTTCAAATTCTGGAGCACACAGGGATGGTTTGAACAATGGCCGGTAACTCTGAGCGACTACAGAAACCATGACCGATAACTCCGTCACAAAAGAGGAAACTAGAATTTAGATTCAAAGATAAGTTGGACTTTAGTATAACCAGGATTAAACATGATATTTAACAAAAGGACCCCAAGAAATAATTTGGACGAGGATGAAGGGGGAGGGGTCAGTAGGTGGCGCTACAAGTAAGACAGCATAAATAATATCCTAGGACTAGGAGAATGGTACCGTCTCTTTGTGGTTAAGTTTACTTGTGTGAGTTATGTTTGTAGAGGATCTCCGTATAGACATGAGGATTCAGATCGAAGACATCAATAGCTCAATGATTCTTGCAACGTTGGAGTGGGCGGTAGATTTTCTCTTCTTCTTCTTCTTCTTCTTCGTTCTTAATTTTAGTGGCGGAAGGCATCCCCTCCAGCATAATTAAGTATACGTATCAACTGGTAGATATTTGATATCAGTTGTAAGTCTAATGCCTCTATCTGTCAAGTTGTAAGTCTAATGCCTCTATCTGTCAAGTTGTAAGTGTAATGCCTCTATCTGTCAAGTTGTAAGTGTAATGCATCTATCTGTCAAGTTGTAAGTCTAATGCCTCTATCTGTCAAGTTGTAAGTGTAATGCCTCTATCTGTCAAGTTGTAAGTCTAATGCCTCTATCTGTCAAGTTGTAAGTGTAATGCCTCTATCTGTCAAGTTGTAAGTGTAATGCCTCTATCTGTCAAGTTGTAAGTGTAATGCCTCTATCTGTCAAGTTGTAAGTGTAATGCCTCTATCTGTCAAGTTGTAAGTGTAACGCCTCTATCTGTCAAGTTGTAAGTGTAATGCCTCTATCTGTCAAGTTGTAAGTCTAATGCCTCTATCTGTCAAGTTGTAAGTGTAATGCCTCTATCTGTCAAGTTGTAAGTGTAATGCCTCTATCTGTCAAGTTGTAAGTCTAATGCCTCTATCAGTCAAGTTGTAAGTGTAATGCCTCTATCTGTCAAGTTGTAAGTCTAATGCCTCTATCTGTCAAGTTGTACGTGTAATGCCTCTATCTGTCAAGTTGTAAGTGTAATGCCTCTATCTGTCAAGTTGTAAGTGTAATGCCTCTATCTGTCAAGTTGTAAGTGTAATGCATCTGTCTGTCAAGTTGTAAGTCTAATGCCTCTATCTGTCAAGTTGTAAGTGTAATGCCTCTATCTGTCAAGTTGTAAGTGTAATGCCTCTATCTGTCAAGTTGTAAGTGTAATGCCTCTATCTGTCAAGTTGTAAGTCTAATGCCTCTATCTGTCAAGTTGTAAGTGTAATGCCTCTATCTGTCAAGTTGTAAGTGTAATGCCTCTATCTGTCAAGTTGTAAGTGTAATGCCTCTATCTGTCAAGTTGTAAGTCTAATGCCTCTATCTGTCAAGTTGTAAGTGTAATGCCTCTATCTGTCAAGTTGTAAGTGTAATGCCTCTATCTGTCAAGTTGTAAGTGTAATGCCTCTATCTGTCAAGTTGTAAGTGTAATGCATCTATCTGTCAAGTTGTAAGTGTAATGCCTCTATCTGTCAAGTTGTAAGTGTAATGCATCTATCTGTCAAGTTGTAAGTCTAATGCCTCTATCTGTCAAGTTGTAAGTGTAATGCATCTATCTGTCAAGTTGTAAGTCTAATGCCTCTATCTGTCAAGTTGTAAGTGTAATGCCTCTATCTGTCAAGTTGTAAGTGTAATGCCTCTATCTGTCAAGTTGTAAGTCTAATGCCTCTATCTGTCAAGTTGTAAGTGTAATGCCTCTATCTGTCAAGTTGTAAGTGTAATGCCTCTATCTGTCAAGTTGTAAGTCTAATGCCTCTATCTGTCAAGTTGTACGTGTAATGCCTCTATCTGTCAAGTTGTAAGTGTAATGCCTCTATCTGTCAAGTTGTAAGTCTAATGCCTCTATCTGTCAAGTTGTAAGTCTAATGCCTCTATCTGTCAAGTTGTAAGTGTAATGCCTCTATCTGTCAAGTTGTAAGTCTAATGCCTCTATCTGTCAAGTTGTAAGTCTAATGCCTCTATCTGTCAAGTTGTAAGTGTAATGCCTCTATCTGTCAAGTTGTAAGTCTAATGCCTCTATCTGTCAAGTTGTAAGTCTAATGCCTCTATCTGTCA